TGTCACATTACTGTAGTCTCATTATTATGGATATTAAAGTGATTTAAATGGAATCCCGAGCTGCCTTCTGACAAAACTCATATTGCAAAGGCCAACACGGCTTTTTGCATTTAAAAGATTTCCAGAGAATAAACTGCACTTCACGTGCGAAGTATTAAAGAAGGCATGAGCTAAGCCAACGATTCTATTCTAAGTAAGTCAACTTCGAGCAGCTCAACTGGTTGGTAGTCTGAAAAAATGTTCACGACAGCTCCCGGAATCTTATTTAGCGCGACACTTTTGTCTCGGGCCGACAGCTCAACCTGACAAGTGCATTCTGTTAATTAGCGTACGTAGATGTCGAGGAAGCTGAATGAAAGAAAGAGAGATAGAGAGAGAGAGAGAGAATCGCAGCGTCAATCGGGGCCCGAAACAATGGCGCGCCGATGCCATTCACACGCCGCATTCCGCCACAAAAGGCTAATGCTATGTAAATATAAAGTCTCGCCCATTCAAGCGCGATCTTCTTCTCACGCGGGAGAATAGTCAAGGCGGCCTTGTACTTGGCGTCCCGACCTTTTAGGAAAAAGAGCTAATGTACGTCACCGCGTACCGTTACGACACGCGATCGCGCCGGCCGATTCGTCAACGTTCCTCCGTGTCTCTTTGTCTCCTTTCAAGTGCCCCCGGGGCCGTGTCGAAGCCGAGTCGCCAAGTGAATTCACGAAACGACCGTTTCAAGATAATCGCCCGCCCGACGAGACGTTAAGGCCGGGGCCTTCCGGCCGTCGGGTACGTTCCCGGCTCGCGCCGCGGAGCGCGGCTACGCGGGACGCTTGAAAAGCCGACGCGCACCGGGCGTAGAAATTGCGTGCTATCAATTTCCATACGCGCCGCGCCGCGTGCTCGTTTCACGGGAGGCTTCACGACGCCGCGCCGGTGAGTTTTACGACGTTGCGCCGCGGTAGCGTAACCCAGTCCCGAATGGTTTCTGCGCCAGGTGGAAACGCGGCTCTCCCGACACGCGGATTACAATGCGTCGTAACACGTAACTTGCTCGCTTACGTCCCATCTCCCGCGGCCGAAGACGTTTATTTAAACGCGAGCGCTATACAGCGGCGAGATCCGCCGATAAAAAGGAAAATCGAAAGAGGCGATGCGCCGCTCACCGGGCTTCATCGGCGCGGATATCGTGCTCGCAGCCGCGTGAGGAAAAAGTCTACGTTACCGGGGACACGTTCAGGCGTGGCACGGTGGATAGTACTTTCGTTTGTAGGCCTTTTATCCGCCGACGTTGCTGCACACGCATTCGGATTTGTGGCACGCAACTTTCGCACTCGCCTTAACTACCCTGCCGGAAATAATTCTACAAAATTTTACAAAAATAAATATATATACTGCCAGAATCTAAGAAATTCTGCGTAAGTTTAAAATGTGTTATAATGTATATAGAATTGGAACACTTTTGTTAATTTTTGTAATATTCTACAAGCAAGCAGGTGTTTTAATTCTTTAAGATTTTGTTGTCTCTCAAATTTTTAAACCTAGCAAAGTTTTGTACTAATTCTTACAAAATTGTACATTTTCATGAAATATTACTTGCAATAATTTCTTGATCTGAGAACATTGTAATTTGTGGTACTATTTCGTAGATATTTTGACAAAAAAATAAATGTTTCAACGAAGATTTACAAATTTTTACAAATTTCTATTTCAAGTCAATTTTTTGTAGTTATTTATAGAAATTCTTTCCGCTAGGTTAATTTTTACACAGTCTCGACACAGTGTAAAGGCTGGCTTATGCAAGACAGTAACTGTTAACTTATGCCGGAATGGGTAAAAATTGTCCAATCACCGTTAAAAGTGAAGAGAATAGTTGACTGTAATTGGTTAATTTTTACCGATTCTGGCATAAGTTAACGGTTACGGGCTTGCATAAATCAGTCATAAGGAAGTATAGGAAAATGTCAAGAAGCGGTAGTCAGACTTGAAAAATAGTAAAGGGATTTGAAAAAATGGCGAAGGGAGAAGTAAGCCTAACTTCGTTACAAGTAACGAGTTACTTCCCAACCCTGCTAGTAATGTTACATCCAACGTTTAGCCAATGCACTGTGCTACTAGGAAAGACTTGTAAATTCTTTAATTAACATATTAGAAATGCCAGTCTAAATCCAACGGCACACGATACTATTTTGCCTACTGGATTGTTCACGACAGCCCATCAGGATTTAGCCTTAAATCACTGATCTACAACTCTGCATCCTTATTGATTCTCGTAAGCCATCCAGTAGGAAAAGTAGATCTATAAATCGAACTTTTATAACGAATGCTAACTAAACTAAGAAATTGCAATTTACACAAAGTATTTATTTACTGGAAAAAACAAAGCTGATGTTGAACTGTGTTTAACACTGCTACTTGTTTCGATAACAAGCTTTCGTCAATTTTTTCGTCAATTGAACCGCGATCTCTCGCGCTTTATATTTCGCCACGAACGTTTTGTGCAGGTGAGACGTTAGCCCCAATGTAACCGAAAGAATAAAGGAATACGAGGAAACGTCGATTACTTCATGGTCGGTGCCAGCTGACGGCAGCATTATTTGAGAACGATGCGATCTCGTACCCAGGGGTTGATCGATCGACGGATCGAATTCGCCACTCGAATTCGCTCGCAAACCGTGACCTTCGCTACAAAGTAAGTAAACGTCGTCGCTAACTCGCGTGAAATTTGTTTCAAGTCCCAATCTCTTAGGAACCTTTCTAGAATAATCAGTTTGAAAAAAAATCTGCTCTGAAGAGTGTATGAATTTTTGCTAAACAAAAAAATAATATCAAAATTTATTTAAACTAATAACAGGCCGTATTGACGAGCACTAATAGATGTTTCTTAAAAAAATATTATACAATTGATTTACTCTTCGAATTAATAGACGTTTCGGGATTCTAAGCCTTCATCAGTACATAAATACCAGTTTTACGTCAGTCGCATAAAACGCAGCAAATTATACAATCATCGGCAGTGGACTTTTTGGCCAACTTGTCCCCATTAGGCGATGTCATGGCAGTGCAATCAATTCCACCCAAGTATCCGACGTATTCATCGTTGGATGACGAGAATATTTGTAAGTGTTATTAGTCATGTTTCGATAAAATGTTCCACGGTTCTCATTGTTCGTTGTCTATTGAACATTTTAACAAACGGTATCAACCTCAAAATTTATTACCAACGCGCGTGGACACCAATCGTGTTTGTTCGATCAGGCGGACACAACGTACATTCATCTAAAATACATTTCGATTACAATTAATAAATCGTATGAAATTTCATGAGCGTTGCGGTTTGGAAGTTTATCGTAGATAAATGAAAAGGCCTTATTGCAGAGGTTCTTTACAGTATCGAGCATCTGGAGCGACTATCCCGCCTGACAAGAATAAAATGATAGCAACGCTGAACTAAATGAGAAGCCAATCGTTGTGAGTGGCCGACGCGTTTCCCCTCCTCCTCTTTCTCTCTTTCTCCTTGTGGATCTAAAACTCCAGTGCTCCGTAGACATAAAAATAGACGGTTAAACGACGGGAAGAAGCCGTTCGGCGGTCAGCGTAGGACTCGCGTCTCGTTGCAAATCAGCCTAACAGCGGCCCATCCGCGACCAACAATCGCGCCGCTTATATTCTATCCAACTGGAGCAAATTCCGGAATCCGTGAACTAGAACCGCGCTCGCTCCAGCGAGACGTACGTAAGGTTGAATCGATTTGCCGGTGTAAAACCGGCTGGGCGTCGGCGGCTGCTGCCAGTAGAAAGAGACGGAAAGGGGGGGGAAAAAAAGGAAAAAGGAAACGCCGAAGGACAGTGGGAACGCGCGCGCGGGAGGGAGGGGGAGGCGCGGAACGCCGCGCCGGTACGAGGGAGGAACGGAGAGGGCCGGAGGTGGAAGCGGGACGCGCGAGGACGGAGAAGGCGGCTGGAACGTGGCCGCGGGAGCGAGACCGAGCGAGAACCGGGGTGGACCGGAGGGGCGAAGGGCGAGAGCGGGGGAGGGCGGGAGGGAGAGCCGAACGAGAGACGGAGACCGAGACTCGATCTCTCCGACTGCCTCTGGCTGGCGGCGGGGTGCACGGACCACACTCCCCTTTCCGCCCACCAGAGACCGATCTCCTTCGTCAGTGCCGGCGTGGCGCGGGTCTCCTACAGGTGCGTTTGCAACCTGCCTCACGGTTTTCCGCCTACCTGACGGATCTCGCGCGCTGCGCGCGGGCCAACAATTAAACGGCGCGGACGACGACGACGAACGTGTGAGCGCGCGCGCGCGCGCGCGCCTCCGCCGTCGCGCTACCCGGGTCCACCGGTGGCTTTCCGTCGCCAAGCGGAAAGCGGAGCACGGGGGTGGGTGTCCGGTCCTCGGGGAGTCGGGGACGGTGATCCGCGGCGGGAGAGTTTCCGCGCGCGCGCGGCCTCCGGCCGATAGGAACCGACCGGAGCCAAGCAGTTCTCCGAGTCGTCGAGCTGTCGCGGGGTGCCCGCGTATCTCGGGCGCGGATCCGCGTCGTCCGCGTCGGGCGTCGAGCGTCCTCACCGAGGTGAGGAAATTCCACGGTAGCGGCGGAGGACCCAAACCGTGAGGGAGAACGGGAGAGGGAGAGAGAAAGAGAGAGGAAGGGGTGCCAGGTTTCGCGTTTACGCACCTGCCCTCATACCACGTCCCTACCTAAGCCTCCCGCGTTCAACCTGCGCGGCATCGCCTCATAGGCACTGGTAGATAGGATACCAGCGAACCCCCGCGCGTGCCCTCAGTCCGCCCTCTGCGCGGCGCTCGCTCGCTCGCTCGCACTCTCGGGCCTACCTGTCGGTCTCGCTCCGACGACCGCGGGCCAAGCCGGAGTCCGCCTCTCTCGCACCCACGGCGACGGCGGCTCCGGAGAGCGAGGCAGTCGGAGCGCAGCATCCAGCAGCAGCGCTACCAGCGGCAGCCGAACGGAAAGACTCCCAGGCGAGTCGCTCTCCTGGCCCTCGTGTAGGTGTGTGTGTGCGCGCGCGCGCGCACCGTTACGCGCGTGTACGTGCGTGCACCGAGCCTCACCTGCGTGGGTGTGTGCGAGAGCCGAGGAAGCCTACCTGGCGGCGTCCGACACGCAGTTACCCGCGCGCGCCTCTCCGCGTTCTCCCGCAGGAAGGAGCGCCGCGCGCGTTTACACCCGCCATCCCGCTCCGATTGCCGTGTTCCTCGTCTCGTTCCCGGAGTCTCGCGTGAGAACCGCGCCTCTCGGGGTACCGACCTTGGAAGAAGACGAAGAGGAACGCGACAGAAGCGCGCCGTGCGCCCCGCGCGCTGCCTCCGTTCCCGCGGTCCACCGGAGATCGGAGCAAGATCGGAAGTGCGACGGAAAGGAATCTGCTGCGCGCCCGATGTGTGTGCACGTGTGTGCGCGCGTGTCTGTGTTTACGTGCGACGAGGGATAAGGAGTGCGATAAGCGCGGAAGGTGTCCCCGGAGGTTGGTTGCCTCGTCGGTGCCAGCGAGCCTGGATGCCCGACGCGGAGGCACGACGGATGTTTCCGCCGCTGATCGCCGGACCGTCGGGCCAATAAGGGATATCGTGCGGAGGAGGAGATGCGTTGGCGGTTCGCTGGGGGACACTGAAAGGGAGACCTGGGCAGGCTTCCCCGTCGACGTCCTCCAGGTGAGACAGAGATTCCCCCTGTCCCCCCTCCGGGCGAGGCGTCCCCCCCCGGGGGGGGGGGGGAAATCCTTCGGAGGAAGAGTCGCGGAGGAGGCCACGTCTCCGCCGTGTCCGCCTCGTTGCGTCCCTACGGACATTCGCGATTCCAACATGGCTGCTGGGACTAGCCGTGACCGCTGGGTCCGCGGAAGCCATGTTGGCAGGTGTGCTCGGCTCGCGATAACCAGTTCACGTTCGTGAAACTCGCGTACGCCAATGTACTCCGAATGGTAGGACCCGGAGCGTGCGCCTCGCGATATCGAATATTATCATTTAAATCGCCGCGCGCCCGCCGCCGCCGCCTGCCCCCCCCCCCCTCTCCCCCCCTCGCCCAAACCCCCCGCGAGGGCCCCGCGGGGCGGCTTCGCG